CCCCCCCCCCCCCCATGGGCAGCAGTGGGGCTGGGGGCTTCCGGGAGGAGCCCCTCCAACAGCCGGGGGTCGTGGAGGCCCAGCGCCGCGCGGAGCTGTGGGGACGGCCGGGGCTTTGCTGCACGTCGCACTGGGGACAAAATGGGTGCCCTGCTGGGGGTCCCACTGGGGGTCTCACAGGAGCCCACTGCAGCCCCATTGGCGTCCCATTCATGTCCCATTCATGTCCCACTGAAGCCCGTCTGTCCCCACTGGACCCTCCGGAATCCCACCCGATGTTCCACTGGCGCCCAGCGGGGTCCCGTTGGAGCTCACTGGATGCCCCACTGAAGTCCAACCGGAGCCCCTGGGAGGCCATGGCAGCCTCTGGGGTCCCACCGGAGTCCAGCTGGATCCACGCTGGACCCTCGCAGGTCCCCGCAGGGCTGCGCTCCCCTGTGGCCCATCCATGTCCCGCTGGAGCCCCGCTGGATGCCTCGTGGGTCCCCCTGCAGCCCCACAGCTCGTCCTGCCGGAGCCACTGCAGATCCGTCAGATGTTCCACCGGAGGCCTTTGGGGGTCCCACGGACGGCGTCCCACCAGAAGCCGGGGTGCCATCGGTTGGTCCACTGGAGCCACTGGAGCTCTGGGGGTCCCGACGTCAGCCGTTCTCCGGCGCGCACTGCAGGCCCCGCTGAACGCCCTGCGCGCTGATCGACCCCTCCGTGTTTCTTTGGCTGCTCGGGAGCGAACACGAATCCCATCCTCGCCTTCCGGCTTCGCCCCCGAGCACGACGCCCTTCCCCCACGGCGGCTCCGTGCCCCTCAGGTGCCGTGGCTCGGGGGGTGCTGCAAGTCCTGCCCTGAGAAGATGGGGTGCAGCAAAGGGTGGAGGTGCAGCGCCGTGGCGGCGGCGGCAGCGGCGGGACGTGGGGCGAGGAGCGTCGGGTAGAGAGCGTGGGGCACCGGGTGGAAGGTGAAGGGACCCGGGTGGATGGCCGAGGCCGGAATGATGTGAATGGGGTGGCTGGCAAGGAAGGTGGCGGGGTGGCCCGGGATGATGGAGTGGGTGAGGTGGGACAGGGAGATGGGCGTCAGGTGGGGCTGCGGGATGTGGTGCACCTGGGCCAGGGGCTGCGGGTGGGGGTGCGGGTGGATGCCGATGGCGGCGGCGGCGGCGGCGGCGTGGTGCTGCAGGATGGCGTGCTGCACCGTGGTGATGGACGTGGCCGAGGCGGCCGCCGGCTGCGGGATGTGGATGGGCTGCAGGGCGGGTGCCGCGGGGGCCAGAGCGGCCGAGGCGGGGAAAGCCTTGACCTGCTTGGCCAGGAGCTGCTGCTGGATGTGCTGCTGGGCCGCCTGCTGCAGCTTGCTGTACTTCTCCATCTCCTCGGGCGTGAAGGTGATGGGCTGGCTCTCCAGCGGCGCGAGCGAGGCGTCCTCCCCCCCGTCGCGGTCCCCCTCCATGCCGGGCTCGCCGCCCTGCGGCACGAAGCCGGGGAAGTGCTCCACGTCGGGGACCAGCGGCATCACGGCCTGGCCGCCCCCGTCCACGGGCTCCAGCGCTTCACCGTCAGCCGGGGCCGCGAGGAAGGAGTGGGGCAGCACCAGGTCCCCGGAGCCGAAGCACTCGGGCAGCGCCGGCGCTTCCAGGGGAGCGGAGGGCATCTCCTCCTCGCGCTTCCGCTCCTCCGGAGCCGCGTCCTGCAGCCCCATCGCCGCGTCCCCCAGCAGCGGCTGCCCGCCCAGCGGCGCCTCCTCCGCCCCCTCGGAATCCGACAGCTCCTCGCCCCTCTCCATCCCGCACTCCTCGTACCTCCTGGCGCTGGGCTTCCGCACGGTCGGCAGTTTCCCGATCAAGGGCAGCACGGGTTTGTTGCCCAGAGAGGGAGGGAGCTTGGGGCCGAAGTAGCCCTGCGGGGGGTCTTTGAGCTTGATGCCCACCTTGCCGGCCCCCGCCAGCATCTCATCGGCGACGCAGGGCTTCTTCTCCACCTTCCGGGACTGGACCTTCTCCAGGAGCAGCTTGGCGGTGACGGAGTTCCGCTCTTCGGGGCTGCAGTCGCCCTCCGAGGCGCGGCCGGCGCCCGAGCCGCTGCTCTGGGAGCCCCGGGGCTCCTCCCCTCTGCCGTCCTCTCTCTTCGCGGCCCCCTCGCCTCGCGCCGCTCGGAAGTAGTGCGGCGACTGCGAGCGGTAGATCTTGGACCTGATGAAATCCCTCCTCCCCGGCCTCCTCTCCTCGGGGCTCTCGTGGCCGCGGGAGCCCTTCCTGGACAGCGAGCGCTGCGAGCGGCTCCTGCTGCTGCGCCCGCGGCTGTAGCTGCGGCTGCGCTTCCAGCTGCGCCCCGTCACGCTGCGGCTCCTCCTCTTGCCGCGACCGCGGCTGCAGCTGCTGCTCCGCGTCCGGCCCCGGCTGCGCGTCCTCGACCTCCCGCTGCGGCTCCTCGACCTGCTCCGGCTCGAGCTGTAGTCTTCGGAGGACGAGTACTTACGCCGCTTCGACCTGCCGTAGTCGGAGTCGTCCTCCGAGTCCCGCGAGCGCTTGGAGCACCGCGACCGCGCGCTGTAGTCGCTGTAGCTGTCGGAGTAGCTGCGGCGGCGGCTGTAGCGGCTGCGGTCGGACGAAGCGCCGGAGCTGCTGGAGTAGGAGCGCCGCGACGAGCGCCCGCGCCCCGACGCTGAGCGGCTCTGCGAGCGCTCGCTGCCCGACCCGTACTCGTCGCTGTACTGCGAGCGCGCGCCGCCAGAGCCCTCGTCGCTGTCGTCCTCGTCCCCGCTGCTCCGCCGGCTGCGGCGCGGCCCCGGGCACCGGCGGCGGGCAGCCCTGCGCTTCTTGGCGCCGTGCTCGGGGCGCGAGGCGCCGCTGTCCTCCTTCTTCCCGCTGCTGCCCTCCTCCGCCGACAGAGATTTCCTCTGCGACTCCTGCGAGCGGCGTTTCTTCTTCTGCAAGTGGCTGCGCTCCTCGCACGGCTCCGCCTTCAGCGCCCGCTCCGACTCGGTAGAAAGAGAGGATTTCACCTTCTTGTGCCGGCGCCGTCTCCGTTTCCTGGGTTTCTCCTCACCCGGGTCCGTTTTGCAGCTCTTTTCCTCGGGCTCCTCCTTGTGTTTGCGTTTGTGCCTGCTGGACTTTTTGTGCTTCTTTTTCTTCTTGTGCTTGTGGGACTTGCCAGCCTTCCCCCGGCCGCTTCCGCTCCTCCCGCTCTCGTCGCCCTCGCCCTGCAGGCAGCCCTCCTTGCCCTGGGACACCGACCCGCTCTCCGCCCCCCCAGAGCCGTCGGCGCTGCCGTCCGCCTCCTTGGCTCTGCTCACCTCTCCAAACTCGGCGTTCTGGATGCTCTCCCTGCACAGCCCGCCCGGATCCTTGGGCTTCTCGGCCCCTTTCCCTTTTGCGTCTTTGTTGCGGGAGAGCTTGAAGTCGAAGTACAGAGGATTGCAGCTGTAGGAGACGGACGGCTCCGCTTTGGTAAAGATGAGGAGCTCCGACGGCCACTGCAGAGTGGTGCTCTCATCCTTACTCAGGACCGGGATGAAGGGTCCCGGCGGCGGCCTGGGCCCCTCTGGGGCGTCCCTACAGCTCGGGGCAGGCTGCGCAGCGCCGCCGGGCTCAGGCAGGCCGCTCTCTGCCAGGCTCTCGCTCTCCTGCGCGCCGACGTCTCCTGGGGCTTCCTTCTGCTCCCCCTCGCCCTGCTGAGCGCCGCTTTCGGCAGCACTCTGCTCCTTCGGCGGGGCCGTGCTCTCGGCTGCCTTCTCCACGTGCTTGCCGGGTTTGGGTTTAGGGGAATTTCCCTTTCTGACTTCATTTGCGGTTTTTTTGTTCACGTTTTCAGCTTCCGTTTGTTCTGTGGACTTCATGAAAAGCAGGAACTGGAAGTTGGGCTTCACTTTGCAGTGGGCCGGGGGGATGTAATGGTAGTACTCCGGCTCCACCGCCGTCGGTCCGTCCTCCCGCCTCATCTTTTTCAGTTTAGACAGCGTGGTGGCCAGAGAGCCGCTGTCCTTGTCGTGGTCGTCGTCCTCCGCCTTGCCGTCAGAATTGTTTGTGTTTTCGCCCTCTCCAGCTTTCTGCAGGCCCCCTCCATCCGAGGAGCCTTTCTCATCAGCTTTCGCTCCATCTGCAGAACTCGATTCGTCCACGTGGTCCTTGAAAACCGAAGCGATGGTCTCCAGTTTCACCGGAGTCTTCTTGGCAAAGGAGAACGACACGCCGATCTTCTGCAGCGGGGCTCCCGGCGCGCCCTTAATGCCAAAGCTGACAGCCTGTGCTGCCTGCAGGGGTGCCTGGCCCGGCCCGGCGCTGCCCCCCATGTGCCCCACGTTTAGGAAACCCCTGTCTGCGCCCACCTCCCCGCCCGGGCCCGACGTCTGGGGGAACGAGCCGCTGTTGGCCGCAGCGTCGTCGTCGTCCCCCCCTTCCTCATCCACAGCCACAGTCGTGGTTCTGAACATGGGGCCGCTTCCCGGAGCGCTGCGGGAACGAGAGAAAACGAAGGCCGCCTGTTTGGGTCGGAAGGGACCCTTAAGATCCTCCATTGCCACCCCCCTGCTACAGCCTGGGACGCCTCCCTCTGAGCAGGCTGCTCGCGGCCCAGGCTTTGAGTGCTGCCAGGGGGGAGGCGCCCACAACCTCACTGGGCAGCCTGTTCCAGCACTGCACCTCGCAGTAAAGAATTTCTTCCTAATTTCTAGTCTGAATCTAAACTCATCCGATTTAAAATCATTTCTCCTCGTCCTGGTGCCCTTTTTAAGTAGTCCCTACAGCTTTGCTGTAGACCCCGTTGGGTCCTAGAAGGGCTATAATGTCCCCCCCAAAGCCTTCTCTTCTCCAGGCTGAACAGCCCCAGCTCTCTCAGCCTGTCCTCATAAACCTGCAGTCACATTTCACCTCTTCCAAGTGCCACCCAGGAGCAGCACCGCGCGCCCAGCACCGTCACACAACAGCAGGAAACGGCCGCTGCTGGGCAGCACAGCTGGGCCATTCCCTCCTGCAGAAGCACAGCGCAGGGCCGAGCCTCAGCCCCCCGCGGCTCAGCACCCGAGCAGGACGCCTTCACTCACCACTCCGGCTGCCTCCGCTGCTCGGCCAGCTCGTGCAGGCGCCGCAGGGCCCTCTCCTGCTTCCTTTCATCCTTCCGCGATCTTGAGGAGACGTTACGAGCAAACTCCCTTTGCTTGAGATCTTTCAACCTCTGAGGCAAAAGAAAGCGGGCAGGGATCAGAGGAACACGGCCGGAGCCCTGCGCAGCGTGCTGCCAGCCCCCAGGGCCACGGCCTGAGCGGGGGCAGCTGGGCCCGACACACGGCTCCAGGCAGGCTGCCGCCCGGCACGCAGTGGAGAGGCAGCAGAGGGGCTACGGCTTCACGCCTGCACAACCAGCTTTCTTTAGCGGCACGGTAAGGCTGCTTTCAAAGCAAAAAAGCAAATTCTGGAAGGGAAAAAAAAGCAAAACAACCGATAATTAAGAAAAAAAATAAAGGGCTGTTTGTTCTGATGCTCTCACAGGGTGCAAATGTACAGCAGAAACAGCGCAGCGGCAGGGAGGGGACGGAGCAGGAGCTGGTGTGGAAGTCACCCGGGTAACAAAAGCAATGTGCAGCTTACATTGGAGAAGGTGCCAAAAATCCCATGCGAATGATCGCAGTGAGCAAAGAAACAACACAACACACAGCACAAACAGCGCCCCGCTCTGCTGAGCGCAGCTCCGAGCTCCTCGGGAAACAAAAGCTGCCGGGCGCCGCCAGGGGGTCAGCGCTTCACAGGGCAGAAACGCCGCGTGCCGGAGAGCGGAGCCAGGAGTGCAGCCATCACAGCACCGCTGGGCGCCTGCTGTCCCGTCTGAACAGCGCCGAACAACACAGCTTCTGCAGGTCCTGGTTTGAAGCAGTACGACAGGAGGCCGCTGCTCTCCTTCCAACACGGGCAACAATTCCCAGGCTGTTTTTTACGAGCACCACTCAGAAGGTGAAGAAAGTTGCCAAGAAAGACCTCTGCCGCCCTACGCACTCAAGCACCTCCCGTTTTGTTCGGGGTTTCTGTGCGCAATCTTTCAAAAGACCCAATTTCAGGAAATGCCACGTATGAGCTGTTGGTGTTTCTCACGTCAGGTATTTCAGGAAGGGCCCCAAAGACAAACGGCATCAGAGCAGGACTGAGCTAACGAACCCAGCGTGCCAGCCCAGGGAATTACCGAGCCCAATGTAAAGAGAACATTGCTTTGTGGAAAGGGGAGATGGGACAAGACAGAGGATTCTCTCGCCTAATCGCAGTGACTAAACATGGTTTGAGCTTTACCAAAACCAGAGGGAAGGACAGACAAAGAATACAGCTACAGACACCGGCAGAGAGAAACTCACTCGTGTGATCTGGGCTCCGAAATTAGAAGGGTTTGCTTTCAATACATCATCTGAAAGTGTCCCATCACAAAGAAAAAAAGAAAGTGAAGATATAACGAGGGTGGGAGAGAGAAGAAAGAGGAAGCAAGCATTACTGGGGAGCTCCCGGCGCGCCAGCTAGGAGCAGGAGCCGGGCAGCACAGCTACGGGGCCGACAGGGGACGGGGTGCACACACACATGATCCCACCCAGAGCTGCTTCCCCGGGACAAGCGAGGGCTGAAGGGTCTGCGGGGCGCGCTGGGTGTGGAACGCTGAACTCCTGGCGGAGGAAGGGGCCGAGCAGCGCTGTGCTGGCAGAGGGGCTGCGGGCCGTGGGGGGGCTGCCTGCACCGCGTCTCCCTGCGCTCTGAGCTCGGCGTGCTCCGACGGCCTGCACACAGCAGGGGACTCGGCTGCAGCGCAGCTCCCAGGCACAAAGCACACAGCAGCGAGCTGCCGCTGACTGCAGACAAGAGCCCGCCGTGCGGCACGCGGGGCTGAGGGCCCTCAGTGCACAGCGCGGACACCGAGTGCCGGCTGCACCGCGCTGACCCGGCAGGGCAGTCGGGGAGCCACCCTGCAGCACTGGGGAGCGAGGACCTTGCTGGGCAACGTGGAAAAACAAAATCTCAACAGCTGCACTGCACTGCTGCCTTGGGACAGCAAACACGGAACACGGAACCTTCCTTCACCAACTGCTCCCAGCACATACCTGGAAGCAGCAACTCCTCGATGCAAGGAGCAGCAGACAAGCCATTAATTGCAGCCGTGCCACTGCTGTCCCTGGTGCAGCCAGAGAGGAGCAGAAAGAGCACCAGGGGCAGCTGCACAGCAGAAGAACATCGAGGAACACAGAGCTCCTCGGCACACTGCAGCTCCCAGCACTGGCAGAAAGCTAGCCGAGCTAAACCGTATTTAACCCAGGCTTACCCTCAAGAAATTCCCCCCGTAATCCCGAGGCGAGCGTTCATTATTCTAATCCCTTAGCTCCCCACCTGTATTGGCAGCACACCGCACACACTCCCTTCCAGGAAGAGCACTGTGACACAGCAGGGCCCCCCGCCTCTGCAGGCACCTCTGCCTCAGAGCAGAGCCCTGCTCCATCAACCCTTCACACCTCGTGCTCAGCAGTTCTCTTGTCTCTTCAGCAGCATCGGGGCCGCCCTCTTCTACCCACCCCAAACACATCCCTGGGCGCTGCTGCAGGGTTTGGGAAGCAGACAGCACTCTCTGCTGAAGGCCCTGCACCCCGGAGGAGGCAGGAAGGTCTCCAAGCCACAGAGCGTGGCTGAGCACAATGCCAGGACAGGCAGTGCGGCTGCTTCACTGCTCAGCTGAGGAGCGGAGCCCAGGGACAGCGAGGCGATGGGCACCGCTCCGCTGCCTCGAGCCCTCCTCCACTCTCTAACAGCAGCACTTTCAGCCTCCTTTCCAGCAGAATTACCAAGGAGTGCAACTGAGCTCCTAAAGAGCAGGTGCTATTAATCTGCAGCTGCTCAGCCCTCGAGCGTGGACGGGGCAGAGACGGGCTGTGTTCTGGCTGTGGCACGCAGGGCTGTTACCACGCAGTGCTGTTACCATGCAGCTCCTTCCCCTGGCTCACACAGCCACACTCCTGCCTCAGCAGGAAGCTCCAGGGAGCATCATGGTGTGTAAAGGTGACTGAGCCGGAGGGTAGGGTCAGCATTCAGCTGCAGAAACAGGGGAGGACTGAGCACATGGGACAGCTCGCTCGTGGGCTCGTGTCACTGCTCAACGCACACTGCTTTGTGGGGTCAGGCCCAGCGGCAAACGATTTATCTCAGCATCAGGTGGAAAAGCAAGGAGACTTATGTAAGAGGATGCTGTGCAGAGGGGATGAAGCCGCTCCCTGTGCTCCCCACACTGCCACCCTGCTGAGCCTGCTCACAGCAGACAGGAGCTGCACAGTGAGGTGCCAGCACTGGCCGCAGGGGAAGCCACTCACATGGAGCACAGCCAGCGCAGCGCCGCTCCTCCTCAACGCTGCTCTCCGCTCTCTCTGCCAACCTCACTAAAGAAAACCACTTCTCACTCCATACCCCTCATTCTGCTGCAACAGCCTGGAAGGGAACTGCAGCACGAGCTCCAAGGATGGCAACCTCTGGCTGACAACTTTACACGAGTGCTGACACAAGCACAGCCCACTTCTGGCCACCAGTGTTCTTTGCACAACCACAAAGTGAGAAGAGCAGAGGGAAAGCAGCCAGGAGCTGAGGCTTTACTTCACTTCTTCCCTGCAAAGTCTTTCAGTTGAGGACGACACACCACGAGTCGATGGCACACAGACACCCCCCTGCATCAGTCCCTGTATGCTGACACGTGGCCCCACGCTGTGAGCACACGCTATTTCTGCCCTGGACACCAAGTATGGCAGAGGCACTCCCAACTTCCCTGCACCATGCTGTGCTGAAGATGTGAGCGTTCAGAAAGCACCGCTCTGCCCAAAGCGGGAAGTCCAGGGTTTGCATTTGGAGCACTCAGCCAGCACAGCAGTGACCGTGCTGGCAGCACAACGGTGCTTCCCTACATCTCTCTTCCTCGGCACCAGAAATGGATCCCAGAAACAAAGAGCCCAGCAGAGACGGCAGCAAGAGGGACACGCATCTGTGGGGTCACGCCGCAGTTTCACCCCTTTCCCCCTTTCCCCTCGGATTGCTGCCTTATGGACTGAGATGCGGTGCAGAGGGTGGCTCAGACACAACCTGATGCCACGAGAGCAGCAGGGTCAGGAAGCAGAGGAACACCACCTCCCCGCTGCTGCTCGGTGTGGACGCGGTGGAGGTTGTCCAAACGAACCCACAGGGATCAGGGCACTTACCTATCATCCCTGTTTGGCAATAATCCTGAGATCCTTCCTGGAATACAAGACAGCATCTTTATAACTGGGGAGAAGACAGGGATGTGGGGGCAGAGCGGCTCTCTGTGGGGCAGCAGGACACACACTGAGCAGGGGAGCGGGGAGCAGCACCCCCAGCCCCACACTGCCAGGAAGGGCTGCTCCAGCATACAGACAGCACGGGTGGCACAGCACTACTGCTGCTCATTCGCCTTCCTCACCTCTGGGTGCTGCACATCCAGATGCTGACACAACGCAGCACCACAGGGAGCTGGGCAAGCCCTTTCCCTGAGCAAAGCACAACTTCCTCTCTGTTCAAACCACTGCCTAATTAGGAAGGAACGCTGGGTGACCTACAGGAACCTGAAGGCTCCCACCTCCCCACAGCGCTGCGGGTTCCTGTAGGACCAGCCATCCCACCCAGCCTGCAGCCCCTTGCAGAGCTGCAGTGACTGGAGCGCTGCCACTACCCTGAACCACGACTCCTTTTATACCAACGAGGGGCAGTTTGTTTCTCCTTCCTAACCTCTTGTCAGCCCCCTAATTACCCACCCAATTAAGCGGGAGCAGGCCGTGATCAGAGCACATCGCCACGCTGCACAAAGTGCCACCACCAGGTCCCCCTTCCCCTCAGCAGAGGCACCCAACTGCTCTCCATCTCAGCCCAGTGATGGAGAACACAGCACTGCTCTCGGGTATCACAGCCAGCCAGCCCCTCTCTGCTGGGACTGCATTCCCAACCATAGCAGTGCTCACACAAAGCGCCCTGCTGCACGTTTCCTGTTAAGGCACCCCTGGTGAATCTGCTTGGAACCACTGTTCCCATACTTAACATTAAAAATTCATGCCCTGTAATGCTATACTCCCATTTCAAAGCTGTTGCTTCGCTTCCATTTGGCCAGACTCTGCAGCACATCCTCCAGAAGTCGTCAGTGCTCCAAGCATCACGGTGTTAAAATCGGTCATTAGGAGTATCAGAACATTTCCTCTGAGCACTTTTACCCCCAGATGAGCACAGCACAACTCTCTGTTGTGAGATCACGAATGGCCAAAGAGATGAGGCCAATGCACAGACTTCTGTCAGCCACCCAGCACTCGAGCACACAGCACTGCCCTGCCACATCCCAGCTGGGGACTGAAGGCAGAGCTGTGCGGATTCAGAACAGACCTCATGAACATCACAGAATTTGGAAACTTCCCCTTTTGATACAGCCCCTCTTTTCCTGGTCTCCCAACACTCTGAAACATGGCAGATCGTCAGACTCCACAGCCGTGCCGCTATGAAAGCAGACGTGAAGCAGGAGCCATCCACACCCGGTTCAGGAGGAGTTCCCCCCCCAGTTTCCAGCAGCCCGCTCCTGCTCACACCTCACTCAATACAGAGCTTCCTCACCAGCCGGCGGCGGCTGTCTGCTCCTTTCTGTTTGTGTGTCTGTTGTTGGTTTGTTTCCAAAGGGATGGTGGGCACAAGACTGGGCCAGCAACACGGGGCCTGCTCCCGGTGAGGACAACGAGCACACGGGGGGAAATCAAAGTATGAATTGCAAAGGAGACGCTGCAGAGAGCACACGACGAGCGGGCAGCACCGCCTGCAGGGCTCTGTTTACCTGCTTGTGAGCGTGGTCGTAGGAGTTGATGTGGTTGTCAAACTCCTGGTGCTTCTGGTACTGCTTGTCGCAGAGCTCGCAGTAGAAGTTGGCTCTGAGGTCTTCCAAAGCCTTGGCAATCGCCTTCTCCTTATCCACATAATCCTGCAAAACGAAGAGGAGTTACAAGCTGAACTCGCCCTGGAGCAATTTGAAAGATTCTCTAGAAGTCCTCAGCAAACACCAGCTGAAGGGTTCCTCCTTCCATGAACAAGAGGAGCCACAAGCACCGAAAAGACGACGCACTTAGAAAGCTTTCTTCTTTTGATTTGATGAGATCCTGTCCAAGGGAGCGTGCTGAATCTCCCGGTTTACCACCTCAGGGACACAGACACAACACTGCTGATGTGCTGCTGCAAGGCCAGATCTGTGCAAAAAATATTTCGGCACCCGAAGGGGAAAAATCTAAAACATCCTGCTGCTACAAGATGGGCTTTATTTCCCCTCCAAGCGCTATTCTGCTTTTAAATAAAGAAGGATTTAAGCTCCCGTTTTACTGAGTGCAGAGAAACCACGCTAAGAAAGAACAGCACATGGGACTGTGGGGCTGCAGCAGGTCCCCATGAAGGCAGGAAAGGAAACAAGCCCAGGACGACGGCGGGCCGGGCTGCTCTGCCGGGCAGAAGGCGCTTCCTGCGCCCAGCGAGGCTGTGCAGCACACATCCTGTGGTGGAGCAGCTCTCACTTATCACTGCCCACACCGGGGAGGGAATGACGGAGCATTTCTCAGCACAGAGCGACCCGCAGCCCCCCTGGATGTGCTGAATTGCCGCACACAGCTGGCAGCTGCATCACCTCAGAGCTGCAAAGAAACGGCCCTGGCAGAGCTTTAATACAGAAACGCAATAAAGCACACGAGGGAAAACATCCACGCAGGGAGGGACTGCTGCAGCTCCACTGAGTTCCTGGAAGGGACCCGAATGGGACCTGTGCTGAATGCTGGCAGGGAGGCTTGAAAAGGCAGCTGCAGAAAGAAGGGTTTGGTGACACACGGCACTGCTCTTCGTCATTAGGTGCCGCTGACACAGGAGCTCCTGCCCCCACCCAGAGCACAGGAGCACCGCGGCGTTTCTGAAACGTGCCACAAGGTTTCCGTACTGTCACTCAGCTCCAAAGGAATCAATAGATATCAGTAATCACAAATACAGTAGTTACAGTAGTAAATGAACAAATACAGCAGGAAGTCACCGAGCAAGTCGAGGTCTCGGGGGGAAAAAGAAAGATCCAGAAGGGAGGAATGAACTCCAGAGAACACCACCAGTTTGGTAAACCTTAAAACATGGCATATCTATGGACATTCTGTGATGCTGCCCGATCAATCCTCCCACACAGGGACAGAACAAGAACTTCTCAGCCCTGCAGCGACGTTCTGCCTTGTCAGAGGGCAGCACTTTGCACACAGCACTAACACACCGTGTGATGCCTCAGCGCCAGCGGGTAACGGGGCGCCCCTGCAGGCCGGCTCTGTGTGCTCTGTGCCCACGAGGCAGCAGGCCTGGCCCAGCACTGCTGGCTGCGGGACCAAAGCACTGCTGCCCCAAAGCTCTTCAGCGGCAAAACAACTCCAGGAGGTGAGCAACCCACTTGTTAACATGTGAGCTGTCTCAGTGACACCAGGGAACAACAAGAGCGCATTCCTGCTGGGGTTACAGCAGCCAGCACAGGACTTGGGAACGCTGCTGCTCAGTACCTTGTATTTCTGCCTCAGCTCCTCGGTGTCTTCTTTCTCCACCTCCAGTACACGCCTCCGCTCAGTGGCATCTTCGGCGTAGTCGAGCTTTTTAAAACAAACAGAAGAAGAATTACAAACATTGAAAATGGCCATTTGTCCCACAGACCCCTCTTGCACCAGGCACTGCCAGAACGTGCAATCTCAAAGCTGGGCCCCTCATTGTGCTGGGTCTCTCCCTCACCACGCTGGCCTGCAGTGCAGCACCAGCAGCTCCAGCTCTGCGCAGTGGGAGCTGCCAGGCAGAGGCACAAAGCTCAGCTCAGCGGTGCTCGACAGAGCGCAGGTTCTCACAGAAGCATTTCCTGGCTTTAAGAGCACTTTTCGACACCCAGACGGGCCTTTCAACCCCTGCCCCACACCCAGCAGCCTTACCTCCATCTCCATGCGCCCCATGCCCATGACATCGTACTTGACGACAATTGGGATGGGATCTGTCCTCCCTGCAATAGGAACACACAGAGGCGGTCAGGGGCTGCGCCGTGCCCGCGGCTCGCTCGACACATTGGGTTTGGGTGGTTAGAGATCTTGCCTTGGAGTGCAGAGACCAGAAAGCTACAGTGAACCAAACACGAGCCATTCCCACAGCTTGCAGCCAGCCGTGCCTCCCGGCCCCACGCGGCACAGCTCCGTGCCTTCCAACGGCGCCGAGGAACCAGCTGGTGCTCAGCGCCCAAGTGCAGCACGTCCTGCTGCGTGTGTGCTGCCAGGACCTGCCAACGAGCCCCTGTGCTCCACGCACAGCTCGCAGACCTGAACCCCACTGCTGCTCAGGAGCACAGAACCCCCACCTCCGTCCTCCCCCGGGGCCGCGGGGCGACGCGGCTGCAAGCTGTGAAAAGGACTGCTAGCGAAGAGAATTGACTTGGAACTAATCAAACTACGCTGGAGATTTTGTTGGGGTTTGGTTTTCATTATTATTTGTTTTTTCAACTTATCTTTAATCCACTCATAACCAGCCAAACAAAGCAAAATGGGGCACGCAAGCACTTTACTACCACAGCTTTTTAATTTCGTTTGGATTTTTCTCTGTTTTGGATTGTTTTGTTGTACGTTACATCCCAACCCGCGCTGTCGGTTGCGATGTAAACCTGCTGGAACAGCACTTACCTTCTCCGGCGCACACCCTGGGTGAGAAAACAGAATGTTTACAGCCCTGCTCATGGCTCTGGGTCGGCGTAAACACCTGCTTTGTTATACACACATACAACACCATTATACCTTTGGGCTCTGAGATCCGCAGGCCTTCCCAGGCCAAAGCGACGCTGCGGCGCAGGGCGCTGAGGGCTGAGCTCCTGGGATGGATGCAGAGCGCTTCTCCAGGGCCCTGGAGCGAGCAGCACGGCTCTGCCTCAGGCAGGCACACAGCTCCCTTTCAGGCTGCGTTGTTTTAGGGGCGCCCATGGCACGCGGCCACAGCTCCAAGCGCGGCTGCCGCGCCGACGCACCGTGGCTCTTTGGAACCACGCTCGCCTTTGGCTGCTTTAATGCTGTTCCTCATTTGAAACGTTTCTCTTTCGCCCAATGGTATAATACAGGAAGCAGTGACTGCAATTTTTAGCAAAAGGACCAAATTAAAGACGGGTTATAAAAATGGCTTCCTAAGCGCAGCATCACTTTCGTAACGTCTCAGGCGGGGCTGGCAAACCCGAGCAGCATGGCTGGCCACGCGTGCCGACCATTCTGCATCTCAGCTTCGTTTTGGGTCGGATTGGGGTTCGGTTCTCCAGCAATGGAGAGCGCGGGTGCCGCCTCGTGGAGCCCCGCACACAAACAGTGCAGCGGAGCTTCTGCCTTCTAAGGCAGGCAGAGTTTTTCAAGATCTCTTTGTAAATTGCAGTAGCAAGTGCTGGTGCCCACGGTGGGGAAAATCAAGTTTGGACAGTATTAGAAATTGACGCTTAAACTGATTTTGGCAGTTCTAACACAAACAGAAACGTCCCTTCTTAGCAATACCCTTTAATGAACGAGGATCAGACAAGTGTGCATAAAGAAAGGAAAGGAAAATGAAAGACCAAGCAGAAGGATGATGGCTACAACAGAGAAAGTAAGCCTAACATATTGGTGCACTGATGACAAAAGGAGTAATTCAGTCTGAAAATTAAAAATTACCACTGCTAAGTTTACCATCACCACAACAAGTCCAGGATCATAACGCTGTAAAAAAGAAACACCATTTGTTAGGCAGAAACCACTGGGGCAGAAAACAGGCGGTTTGCAGCAGGCAGGGAGGTGGGCAACCACAGCGGGCTCCTTCCTCACCCCTCCACCCCAACACCGCGCCGTGGGCCCGGCCGGAGCCGCGCTGCCGTGGGGCGGCCCAACCTCACCTGGTGGGACGCGTGACAGGGCAGCGACATCAGGAGCACCGATCCCAGCGCTCGGCTCGGCGCTCCCGCAGCGCCGCCTCCTGCCGCACCGCGCAGGGAGCCGGGCTCTCAGGAAGGGGCAGAAAGCGCAGCCCGGGACGGCAGCGCAGCTCTGGATGGCAGCGCAGCACCGGATGGCAGCGCAGCACCGGATGGCAGCGCAGCCCTGGATGGCGCCGCAGGATCGCGGGTGCCGTGAGCAGGCAGTGAGCCCCACAGGTCCGCTCTGCTGCCCCGACAGCCCGGAAACACCACAGGACATCCACCGGCGTGCGCGCAGAGGGCGCCGTGCAGACGGACGGAGCGCCTCCACGCGGGCAGGAAGCAGAGCTGCCCCCGAGAGCAACTTCAGCACGGGCAGCAGCTCGGCAGCACCGCAGCGCATCCCAGCGCAGCCCCGTGACAGAGCACAGAGCAGCACAGCGCCGGCTGCTCACAGCAGGCAGGAGCGACAACAGAGCAGGAGCGCCGCACGGAAGCACCCCGGCACACCGTGGGACGGGACCGCAGTACGCACCGTCCCTACTTACTTGCAGAGCCGTCCCGCTAGAGGACGAGCTTCGTTTTTCACAAGGACCGCGCAAGCTCTGCAAGCTCTGCAAGCTCCCCCGGGCCGGCTGCGCCCCGAGCTCCCGGCCGCCGCCCATCGCAGGGAGCGCCGCCTGCTGCTCACGGCAGCCCTGGACGTTCCCAGCCGGCCCGAAGCAACGCTCCCCCCCAGCCCTGTGCCGCCGGCGGCGCAAGGCGCGTGAAAACAAGGCGGCCTCTCATCCTGCCGTCCTCTGGGAGCGGCACCGCTGAGCTCATCCTGTTTATCTCCGGTTTCTGGCAGGGGCCGCAGACAGACACGAGGCTCAGACGAAGCCTGAAATGCCTCTCCTGCTCGGTGAGGAGCAGGCACCCCCGGTCCCACGGAGGAGATCCCGAGCCGGGCCAGGAGCTCCGCTGCGTGAAGCAGACGCAGGAGCCGCGCACACCGGCCCGCAGCGCTCCTCTCATCAGCGCCGCCCCGTCCTGCGCGTGAAATCCCTGCTGCCACCCTGCTGCCCTGACTGACGCTACACAAGCGGCAGAGATGCCTGTGCCAACCTCAGATCCCCGCCAGCACTCACTCAGAGGCTGCAGATAAGATCATGTTTACATCCAGTTCTTACAGACGCTGCCAAACCACCCAATTCTTACTGACTAACGGCTGGTTCTTCTCCTTTTTTTCCATACTCTCACACGGCTCCAAACCCCCGAAATGAATACAGAATTCCTCATTTCCTCGTGCTGTTTTTCTCGGATGTGCATTGTTCTGTGTTCCCAGGGCCTCACAAACATCTCCTCTGTGAGATGAGAGCATTTACCAAATGGAAAAACACGGACAGACGAGCTGCCGGCCATTTGGTGAGCCAGCACTCGACACCTCTGGAATGTGAACCCTGAGCACATTTCTCTGGGCTGCAGCTGCCACGCCAGCCCTGCTGTGACCGAGCCCAGCGGGCCGCACAGTCCCGAAAGCACCAAGATGTGGCTCCGCTCTGTGACACAGCCTGAGGAGCTGCAGCTGGGCTGGGTGAGGAGCAAAGCGCTCCTCCACAGGGGGTTTCAGGAGGGCCCACCTCTGCCGAGCTCAGCGCTCCCTGCTGGGACGGAAGAAATCCAGCAGGTCTCTCCCACTCTGCCCCTCCTGCAGCCTCCCCTGCTGTGGCTGCACAACTCCCCACTGCTGAGGCGCTGCCTGCAGTGCAACCCCCAGCTGTGCTGACGTTGGGGGGAGCCCTGGTGGGTGGAACGGCTCCTGCTGCAGGAGCACCGGCTTTGTTCAGGTCAGCCATGTGGAAACAAGGGGAGGGTGATCTCAGCGTGTGCAATCAGCTCTGAGGGCTGGCTGCCAAATGCAGGACGGCAGGTAATGTACTCATGGCGAACAGAAATGCAGAGTGCTCTGAGTTCTGCACTACTGGATGTCCTTTAGGCTCCAGCACAGTGCTCACAGCACAGCAGCTCTGCGTTCTCTCCTCAACCTCTTTAGAAATCTCCGTTGGATGTTTTGATGAAAAGAACATGGAAGTGAGATGTCTTTGTTCTGCTCTCCTGTCCTCAGCGCACATCAAATGCCCTCGCTCCCCATGGTCCCGGAGCACAGTTCAAACTGGAGGCCACTGCTTCCTTTCTTCAGTTTGCAGATTTGGGGTTTGGGGACAATTCAGGTAGAAAAGCCACAGGACAAGGAATGAAACACCCTCAGAGCGACGTCCTGCGGTGCCACATGGCAGCAGGGAGCTCCTCCCGCAGCCCAGTGCAGCAGGGGTGGAACTCGATGCCCGCGGGGCCCTTCCAACACAGCCCACCCGATGCTGCAGAGCAGCAGGACGCAGCAGCACGTCCCCACAGCTGCCCCTCGCCCCCCACAGCTGCCAGCAGCCCCGGGGCCATGGCCTCATGCAGGTGCACCGGGCCTGGCCTTCCCTCGGCTCACTGCTCCCACACAGAGTGACAGAGGGACACCCAGAGGGGGAAGCAGGCTGAGGAACACGCAGCCAACGCTGCGCCACAGCACGATGCTGAGGGCGGCACCTCCAGCCCCCTGCACACCAGCAGGAGGCACAGCGACAGTAAGAAGGCCAGCATGAGCCACAGAACTCCGAATGGAACCCAGGTAGGGGCAGCGAGGAGCGTCAACCACCAGTGCGGCCCCGTCCAAGAGGTCAGAGAGCCTCAGCCGCAGAGCCCACCGCATCCCAGGGCATCTCCAGGGCGCAGAGCCCCGCGCCTCTCCAACAGTCCTCAGCTCTGCGGGGCCGCTGGGGGCGGCAGGGCCACTCACAGGCTGCCAGCTCTTCAGTCTACAGCCAGGGGAGCAGCGAGCTGGGCGGCCCGGCTGCGGCAGGCCGTGGGCACGCGGCCCCAAGCGGCCCCACGCCACCCCAAGCGGCCCCACACCGCCCCACACGCTCGGGAGCCGTGGAGCTCAGCCCCCGGCCGCAGCGCTGCGTGCAGTCAGTGCAGCACCATGTCCGACCCGCAGCGCCTCCCCACAGAAACCCAGCAGTGCCTCTGCCTGCACACGGCGGCGGCGGCAACGACCCACGTAGGAACGGAGAGCAGAGGTTCTGTGGGAGCTCACGGCAGCACTTACCCTGCAGCGACTTGCCCAAGCCCTGGCCCAGCTTCCAGCCATGCTTCTGCAGTAAGCGGTGTCCGATATTATCCTGACAGACAGAACAGAGAGAACAAACCAAAAATATTCCAATAATTTATCCTTCCCTTCCCGCCGCCACTGAAACATGTGATGAACGAGAGATTTTCTACATAGATACGCATGCAAAAAAATGCTACTGAGAAGGCAACGTGTGCCCAAGGAAAGGGAGAGACCGATGGCAAAAATTGCTGGCTGGAATTGTTGCAGGGCCGGGGTTGGCCGCTGTCTGATGGTGTGCTGGGCAACGTGTGTGCGTCAGGGGAAAGGAAAACAACCACGACAACCAAAAAAAACAGAAAGCAATGGGGGAGGAAAGGTGTACCGATCAAAATTGACAGTAAAAAGCATAAAATCAGGCTACTGAGACAATCGTATCCATCACCTAGACAGCACCATTAGGAGGCTGGCGGAGGTCTACGCTGGGTTTAGTCGCTTGGTTTGCGTGTCAGGATTTAGAGAACCGAAAGCTGTCAGTGCAGCACTGCCCACCACTAAAACCAAACGCAATCAGAGCACAATCCAGACTACACTTGATTGGGTTTTATATATGTATATATAGATATAAACTAGCATGCAGCCAATATTAAACTGAAAAAACAGTGAGGTTAGTAAAAACAAAATAAGGAAATCGATTAAATAAAATGAGCTCAAGCACAGACTGGGTGATGCATCTCACATGGAAACTAACCAAACACTAAGGTGTTAGAATGGAACAGGCCTAGCAGTCATAACAGCGAGGAACCATTAGTGCACGGGGGGAACAATTAGCATAATGTCTCATCTTCCCCAGGAAAAGCCGATCGGGCGGGTGGAAAACCGCGCAATTAAGGGCTGGCTTTTAATTGGGCCGCCGGCGGGGGGCGCCTGCAGCAGCGCGGCGTGAGAGCAGCACGAGGCGGGGATGAGACATTGTGCTGACTGCGGGTGAGCGAGGCACCAGGGGACACGGATGGAGCGGGACGCTATTTCCAAAAGCAGTGCAAGTGGAGTGAAAGCATTTCCATACGAACCTGGCTTTAAAAACTGGGCTGTCAAAAGAACAGTTAAATGTAACACAAAGTAAGAAACTGTCCAATCACTAATGGTCGTTTTTCTTTTGCTTTGTTTTCAATTCACTGCTTGCAAGTAATGTACTTACTAAAGAAGAGTGAAAGCATAAAATAAATTCAACAAGTCAAGACCAGCTGGGAGATTCAAGAGCGGTGCGTTGTGACTGACACAGTGAGGGGGGACGAATGTTAAGGGGAGAACAGACCCACCGACAGGCTATACACACAGCGCCACTCTTACAGCGCCACTCAAGAGGACGGCCGCCCCAAGCCGGGGCTGCAGCACGCTCAGCACACAGCTCTGGGCACGGCGCCCCTCTCACACCCAGCCCTGCTGCCACTGAGCTGCGACCTTCGGCCGCTCGGCGCCCTCTCAGGACACACGACTGCCTGCCGCCGGGCCCCACGTGCTCACGCTGCTGCTCTGGGGCTGCCCGCACTGCAGCAGGAATGGGAGGCTGGGCGGGCGAGGAGGGCCGGGGGCCTTTGCTCCTATGTCTCTACATGCAGATGGGAGCTTTGCGAGGCGGAAACGCGGGGCTGTGTGCCCCGTGCCCGGCTGCTAAGCCAGCACCGCGACCATGTGTGACAGCACGGCCTGCAGCCTGCTCCAGAGCGAGCGGGGAAAGGCACAAAGATCTGTGTGAGAACCGGAGGGGTTTGGTGCTGCTGGGGGCGGGAGAGGCCCTGCGGCAATAGGGGGCTCTGCAATGCGCAGCGGGGCTGCATGGAGGCCGAACCACAACCGGCTGCGCCCCGTGCAGGGCTCCCATGGGATCCCAGGGCTGCAGCGCTCTGCTCCTCTCCGGGCAGCACCGGGAGCCGTGAGTCTCTTGAGTGGGCTGTAAGCTGTGCTGACTGTGTATGCGGGACCAGAAGCGAGGATTGGATGCTACGGGGTGAACCCATGCAAACGAGAGGTTGAAAAGAGTCCCAAAACAAAACCTAGAGCTCACTACAGATGACACAATGAAGACCAGAGAGAAAAGCCAAATAGTAATGCTACACCATTCAGCTTCAAGAAGCACGTTATTTATAGCGCTGTCCACACGTGGCTGCTGCTAAATGTCAAACCAGCAGCCTCTCCCAGTTACACTTTGGAACCAGTGGAGTCCACAGATCTGTACAGGTGGTGCGACCACAGGCAGCGGGCCGGCAGCACGGCTCTGTGCAGAGGGCAGGGAGCAGCGTGCTGCTGAGCACCGCTCACCTCGGCGCCGTGCCGCCTCTGTGTGGGGAGGAGAGCCGAGGACTCACAGCCACGGGACTGGGGTCGAGGAGTGCAGTGTGGGGAGGACGGGCCCTAGGAGAGGAGCCACACGTCGCCGCTGCTGAGCTGAGCGCACGCTGAGTGCTCACAACCAGCACAGCCCTCTGCGAGCTGAGATGCTGCACGAGGGCTCTGCGGCTCAGGATGAGCAGCAATGGCTGCGCCGACGCCGCCAGCGTGTGTGCAGCACCTTTCAGAGCAGCACAAAGGCGCCGTCACTCGTGGGGGAAGCGAAAATATCGCTCTCGGAGCTATGAGGAGTCCATTGATGGGAAATACTTTCAATTTAGGAATGGAAAATCGCTTCTGGCTGAGGCTGCGCACATCTCCGGGCCCGGGCCGGCCCTGCTGCCATGTTGTGCTGTGCTTGGAGCCGCGCGTGGCTGTGGCCCAAACAAGGCAGGGCTGCACGGAGCCAAACGCCGGCGTGCGAATTGAGGACACGTGTCAGCATTGTAACGATCTGTAGACTCCCAGACCTTTGTTTCCAGCCACCTCCGAGTTGCATGCTGTAGCAGTACGGTCAGCGCCTCTCACCAGATAATGCTGCAGAGATGGATTCCCCATGGCACTTTGGCTACGCTCTGTGCTTGCTGGGCCGGCAGCACGAGGTGCCAGCAGCCTTCCTGCCAGAACAGCAGAGCTGCAGGAAACCCCCCCGGGGAACTTGCTAACTTCAGCCTGTGGGTCATTAAGAGGGCGGGAAACATTTTCACTGGCAGCGGGAAACCTGACGCATTATTCTTGCTTTCCACCTGCAGGTCGTCTTCCGAGAACCAACAGCGTTCTGAATGAAGACGATGTGGAGATGGAGGCTGTGCTGAGTGTGAGGGCAGCCAGCAGCGCCAGGCCTGCTCACGAGGCCGAGGGCAGAGCCACAAAGGCTCAGCGCAGCAGCGCGGGGCGACGGCCGCCCAGCCCTCAGGTGCCCCAGCCCTCAGGTGGAGCGCAGCTCAACCACGAGGCCAAAGCGAGGTGTTAAACCGACCCTGAGCTGCGAATCGCCGCCCCCATCGGATGGCAGCACGGAGCCCTGGGATTGCTGGGGTTGGAAGGGATTTCAGCGGCCCCACGCTGAGCAGAGCTGAATACTAAAGCTGCCACTTCATTCGCAGCCTTCTGCCGCGGCTCCTCGCTGAGCAAACCCCCCGCGACCACAGGCTGTGCCTGCAGAAGCCCAGCACGCACCAGGCGCCGCCGTCCACGTGCAGCTCCTGCGGACGCGCTGGGACCCCAAGAGCCCCCAGCTGGGGACGGAGCTCAGAGCCGGGCACCTCCTGACACCAGGCCGCCATCTGCAACGCGCCTGAGTGCTTCCTGGGATCTGTCAGCACTTCCATCGCAGCCCCGCGCCACACAGCGCGACTGAGGTATTCAGGACAACGCTGAATACAAACCCCATCTCTGCAGCATTATCTCATGCGTCATCGATTACTGCCATGCCTGGATCTAGCATCATGCCAGCACAGAAGACAGGAGGTACTATATGCAGTGTTCACTGGACCAGAAGAACAGAAATAAGAAAAGGGAAAGGAAACCCTAGAGAAGAAATTAAAAAAGGCAGACCGTGCAATACAAACCAGATCGGGGCTGCTTAGCTACTATGGACCAACTGCTGCGGAAGAAAAACGTCGAACACCCCAAGTTGTGTAAATTCTGGTAAACATCCAAACACACACAAACACACACAACACCGACCTACACACCAGGGAGGAGACGCTGAGCCCTCGCTAACTCCGAGTGCTTCTAAGTGGGCACGGACACGGAGCAGCCTCAGCAGCTTCGTTTCTTAGGTGGGAAAGGGAACACCTGAGAGCTCCTGCCTCTAACAGCAGCGGTTTCTCCGAGCAGAGCTCTGTGTGAGCTCAGTGCTCACCTCATTTCCTCCTCTCCTACTGCTGCTGCACTGACTGAGGCTGCAGGGCTAAAGCTGGATGCCAGGCCCGCAGGTGAGCACAGCCCTGCACCCACGGCTGGCAGAGACAGGACTTAAGAGGCTCCAAAAAGCTTTAAAAGGGAAAACTACACAAAACTGAGGCTTGCCCCGTTTTATGGCTGTGTTCTCCACATTCATAAGAAAAAGAAAAAAGAAAAAAAAAGCCACAAAACACACAAAAGCAACACTTAAAAATCCTGGCCGCATTTCCGGCCCCGTGGGGCAGCTCTGCTGCACTGCCACAGCCGTGCTCCCTACCGCCAGGTGCATCCCAACCCACCGTCAGCCAAAACGTGACAGGGGATCAGCAGGCACTCTGCTGCGCTATCCTGCGGCTCTGCTAAGAATTAAACTGATTCTTTGGCACAAATATAAAACGACCTAACGGCTCTGGGTGGCTGAGGACAGCGCTGAAGTACGGCACCGAACTTGGACGGCACGGTGCAGGATGGCTGCTGGCAGCCGGCAGCCCTGCACACACAAAGCTCAGCATGCAGCTCGCCCCTCCTGCCCACAGCAACGCGCCCGGGGCCCAGCACAGGGCAGGAGGGTGCCGGTGCTGAGCACAGCCTTACCGATTCGATGGGCTTGTCCAGGGACGCCTGCTCTATCTCCAGGTGCCCTTCTTCATACTGGTCGAAGTGGTTGCCCTGCGAGAGAAGAGCACGGTCAGCTTTACGGCACAGAACGCGGCCTCGGCCCACAGCTCTCGTTTCACGTGCAGGTTTGGGCCCAGGTTTGTTCGCTCCATTTTTACCAGAAAGGACCAAACTCAGCGCAGGCCCGGCTCGGTCCGTGGGCTGTCAGGAAGGCGCCCGAAACGCGGCCCAACGTGAATTGCACAAATTGTGAGAGATCACACACGTGAGACGGCAGCACTTCTGGCTGCCCACACACTGGGGCAGCGCCGCCGCAGGGCCGGCTGGAGCCGGCTGCCCTGAGGTGCAGCTCTGGCCCTGCGCTGGGCTGCTGCGGAGCTCTGCAGGCACAGCGCTCGACAGCGACAGCAGCAGAGCAGTGCCTGCCCAAAGCAGGGCCGTGCGCCCGCCCCACCGCCGCAGCACAGCAGGGCAGCTCTCCTGTCCCGTTGCGCTGGGCACAGAGTGGGGACGGAAGCAAGCAGCGGCACGCTGCCCTGCTCTGTGAGATGCTGAGCGCTGGGGCTCAGCCAGGAGAGCAGCCAGCAGCACCAGCAGCCATTTCAGGACAACCGTCTCCGTTGTGGCCGCTCCGAAGCTGCGAATTCCTAAGACCACAAAGGCAGAGAACCATTTTTGCCCACAGGAGATGCTCACACTGCACCCCCAGCAGCCAGCGCTCCCAGTGCTGCACACAGCATCCCGCCCGGGGCAGCCACCCCCCACCAGTGCCCCCAGTGCCTCGCAGCCCAGCACCGCCCAGGAGCACCCAGTGCCGCTGCTGGGAACACAGCATCGCTGCTCCCTTCCACCAGCACCAGCTTCTGCTGCAAGGAATGCTCATGGAAGCAAACGTGAGAAAGGGCTGCTGCTAATCCCAGCTGAGTGCAGCTGGCAGAGCACAGGGCAGCCCCCGAACCCCCCTGTGCTGTGCTCCCAGCTGGCCAGGCAGCCCCAGAGACCCAGTGCCAAGAGAAAGCGATCTGGTGCTCGAGCCCAAACACCAGCTGCCCTGAGCCATCCTCCCTGCAGCCCCTCACAGCAGAGCAGCAATCCAAGAACGCAACCCACAAAGCATTTTGGTGAGGAGCATTACAAACACAGCAAACGCAAAGTGCTGGCTTTTCTCCCTTCTGACTTCCCAGCATGACTCGCTGCCTGCAGCCAGCTCTGACTGTGCCAGCCGGGTCACTTGGGCTGCCCAACCCCCTGCCTGCTCCATGTGAAGGCAGCAAGGCTCAGCGAGGCTCCCAGGCACGCCTGGCCCATCCCAGGCTTTGCTGACAAAAACAAAAGTCCCCTCCCGGAAGCGAATCCAAAGACTGAACCCCATCCAAGCCAAATGCAAAGAAGCCCACAAGCAAACCAAGCTCGTGTGAGAGCCAGCGATCCCACACTGCTCTCGCCTTGGGCCTGACTTGATGCATTTGCACCCTTCCGGGACCTGGGAGCCAAGGGGGGGGGGCAGCCCTGCAGCCACAGAGCTCCATCTGCTGCCTCGCTGCGCTCCGAGGGAGCTGGCACTCCAAACGGAGCCATTTTGTGCCACCGTGCCCCGAGACAATGGAGCAGAGGGAGACGTTTCAATCTAACCGTTAATTAAACCCCAAACACGCTGAGAACACAGCGCTCCTGGCAAACGAGGCTGTGAGCACAGGGCACACAGTGCCATCACTGCCACCTGCGCCTCCACAGAGGGGAGCTCTGAGCAAAGGGAACCATCGCCACCAAAGGCAAAACAGTCACAGGAGTGCTGCTGAGCACCAGAAGGAGCTCCTACCATGGCTGCTGAGCACACAGCCCTGCTGCCGACCAGGGCCGCCCTGCCAGCAGCCAGCCCTGCCCGCCCCCATCGCCTCTGCTAACAAGGGAAGGCCAAAAGGGGCCAAAGAAGCCCACAGTGGCTGCGAGGAGCCGGGCAGAGCGCAGCCCAGCACACACACGAGGTGCCACAGTCCTGCTGCCAGAGCTCACCGGCTCTCACGGCACGCAGCTACGGACGGTCTGTGATTCCCGGCTGTGCCTCCGTGCCACCAAACGGCTCCAAAGCGGAGCCGGCGCTGACAGCTGCACTCCCAAACAGCTCCAGGAAAGCACGGCGTGGCGGTGCTGCTCCAGCGCTCATCACAGGCACAGAAGGTGACGCATTCTGCAGGCCAACACGCGCCCTTGGAGGCTCCACCAACCCTCAGCTCTCCTGGACCACGTTAGGGCTTCTGCAAAGGGCAGCACGAGCTGCTGAGGGGAGCTGGGAAGCCCAACTTGACACTCGGCCACAGTCAGACCCTCCTGCTGCTGCGTGCCGAGCGCCGCACCGAGCCGACAGGCCAGCAGGATCCTCGTGCAGCAACGTGCAGGGAAGCCAGCGCACCCCGGCGGAGCTCCTCCTGCCCACGGGGCGCCGCGCAGCTCAGCGTCTGTGGCAGCAAACCCACAATGTAGGCAAACACAGGGCAGCGACGGCCGAGCGCTTCATGAGAAAACCTCTCCAGCTGATACAACAACAGCAATTACGACACAGGATTTTCAATTGGCAGCTTTTGAAAGGAGCACCCTTAATTGCAAGGGAGAGGCGGGTGGCTCCTGCAGCTCCCAGCCCCCAGCGCCGCTCTGACAGCAGCACGCAGCCCCACGGCCAGCAGTGGCTCCTGGCTGTGATGGCAGCACGGCCTCACGTGGACTCCTGGCTTCCCAGCTCTGCACAGCCAAAGCCTCAGAAGAACCACCTGCCCAAACCGCTGCAGGAAGACGGGCTGAGAACGGCTGTGGTGGGAGCCGCACAAGGAGAGCAGCACGTCTGCACGCCTGCCCTGGGGACGCAGAGCCGCAGAGCCCCGCTTCGTGCCCAGGGCAAACCCCACCGGACCCGACCTGCTGCGATGCGGGGCGCTCAGCCCTGCAGGGCTCTGCTGCGGCTCCTCCTGCCGACCTGCACGGGGCTCTGCTCCCAGCTGCAGCACAGCTGGACAACAGCACAGCGTGTCACCACAGGAACTCACTGCGCACACAGCAACAGCCCTGCTACAACTAAAGGGAAGCCGCAGCCCTGCAGTCGCACATCCCCCATCTCCCCACTGACCCCTTGCCCCCCTCCCACCCCTCCTGTTGTGCTGCTGGTTTCCCTTTCCCCCTAACAGCGCAGAGCCACGTGCAGCCCACAGCCTGTCCTCACCTCCCTGGAGCAAATCAGGAGCACTGAAACCCAACCAACACCCCGGCAGCTCTGTGCCGCTCAGGCCCTGCCCCGGCTCACCACTGCCCAGCCAGCCCTCCCAGCCCGTCTCCAGCAGAAAAGAAACAACTGACAAAACCAGAGCAGCTCTCAGTGTTGTTTTTCCCATCCTGGGACAGCTTCCTGTTGCTGCATCGCTAACCCAAAGGCATCTGCCTCTCCTCCCCAGCGACGAGGATCCTCTGACCCGCACACTGCGCTCCCGACCTTTTGTTTCTCTTCCTTTCTCGGGGCTCTGCACATCTTTGGCTTCGCTGAGATCACAAGACCACGAGCAGACCGCAAAGAACGCAGCCCGAGAGCTCCTCCGCTGACCCCAGCCCAGCTCCGAGCGCAGTGGCTGAGCCCAGCCTTCCAGTCCAGCAAGCCCACCTGCCAAAGCCTGCAACCAAGATGCTACAAATTGGTTGAAAAGGCTTTCTGAACACCGGCAGCCCTACAAAGGGAGCCTACATACAAAGCCCTGACTTCCTACCGACAGTCTGAATTTTGCCACAGCTGAGAGCAGCGCTTTGCACCGACGACCAAAAGCAGCGTTGGTGCCTCACAGCCCCCCGCTGAGCACAGCGCCGCAGGTCCTCCTGCACCCCACGCAGGGCTCTGCCTGCAGCAACCTCGGTCTGAACACCGGGAAACACGAGCTCAGAATTCACCTCCAGGAGCAGCTAACAGGGAGGAAGGAGCAGCAGGGCCCCCAGCAGCACGGCGCTGAGCCACAACCCCCAGCCCAGCAGCAGGGCTCCACGCAGACACCTGAGCGGCTCCTCTATAATTCATCCCTCGCTCTGCGGGCTCACAGCCACTCCGAGTCTCTTCCCATTTCCCATTTCCCCCACAGGAAGGCTCCACACACAAAACAAACCCATCCCCTCGCTTCGGAACTCACAGAGGAATCAGAATCAGCCTAGTGTGGCACAAGGCCCCCCTCACATGAGCCCACGGGAAACAACAGAGCGCGACGCCCAGCACGGACGCAGCCCTCATCTGCAGCCATTGTCTGAGAGCAGCTCGCCGTGCGGGGCTGTGCTGCCTCTCCTCTGACATCACACACTGACACACGAGCAGGTTCTGCCACTGCCATTACTTGCTTTGAAGCCACGCTGCCCTGCAAAGGAAGGAAAACAAGGCGAGCTGAACCCACGTGTGCACACATTGTGCACCGCACAGCCAGGAGCTGCCGGCCGCCCTGCTCTGCAGAGCTCCCACTGGGAGGCTCCCCGGCCTTCCGCTCCTAAGGGAACCATCACAAGAAATGCATCTTCAAGCCCAACCTCTGCCTGCCCGGAAAAGGAACCTGCAAGCGGAATCGCACCGTGTCAGTGCTAATTAGGGGGAGTTTAACGAAGTCACCCCGCACGTGGGCTCACAGCGCGCAGCTCAGGGTGTACGCACAGAGCTGAGGTCCCCTCTCAGCCGCCTCTTCTCCAGGCTGAACAGCCCCAGCTCGCTCAGTCTCCCCTGGCAGGAGATGCTCCAGCCCCCATCTCACAGCCCCCGCTCTCTGCAGATGATCTGAACTGAGCAGCCCAGAGCTCAGATATTCCAGATGCGGCCTCCCCAGGGCAGAGCAGGGGGGAGCAGAACCACCCTCGCCTCGCTGACCACTCCATAAGTGCACCTCAGGGCCCCAGGCCACGCTGCCGGCTCACGGCCCCTGCCCACCACAACCCCCGCGTCCTCAGTGCACGGCTCCCTGCACAGCTCAGCCCCCACCTGCACTGCTGCTGAGCTGGTTTCCCTGCAGGTGCAGAGCTCTGCACTCACCCTCATTGAACCCAGCAGGTTCCTCCCTGCCCAGCTCTGAACGGCAGCACAGCTCACAGGACGGCTGTGGTTGGAGGGGCACAGAGTCACAGAATGGCCCGGGTTGAAAGGGACCTCAAGGATCACGGAGCTCCAACCCCCTGCCACATTTCACGGC